TTAAAACTATAGTAAAGGTGACTTATTTGACACATCACATTTACTTAAATAACGTATAGCTACATATGTTTCTGACACAGCCACATTATATTCGTTACATATATAAATTTCGCATTTGATTATGTGTGGAAATTGTTTTATTGAGTATCCAAAATACGATAGCTGATATGAATTTTGGTATTCTTGTTGAACCAATATATTTGCCATTTTTTGTAATGAAACACTATGCATTTTTTGGTTACAGAAATATGAAAAGACACTTTAAAGAACATTGTCCTGTTCGGGAAGTGATAATATACTCGTATTAAATATCATATGTTATTGAGTAAGATTAATTAATAATTATCAATAAGTATTTGATGCTGTAACAGAGTTTAAAGAGTATAAATATGGTGTGTTAATGAAGGTAGAGTATCACAATTCTTACAACCTTCTAACTACCAACACCACAGCTTCACCAGCTATACCTCGTAAGTAAAACAGCTTTGAATTTTCTAGGTAAAATAATAGATATATCATAGACATAGAGATTTTCTTCATGTAGTTATTTCAAAACCAGGCTATAAGAAATATAACTTTACACGAATTATAAATTAAGAACAAAACAAGGCAGTTCGTATTAAGGTCACTATCCCACCTTTGTAAATGCTGTGAGTTTTATAGAGCGTATGAGTTCAAAGCCAATATATTCTCCTTTTCAGAAATCAAAATGAACAAGATCTTTGCCGTCGTTCTCTGTTTGGCTTTCGCCTCCATGACCTTGGCTGGTAACCCCTTGATGATGGGTGGTTTAGGAATGATGAACCCCTACATGATGGGTATGGGAGGTTTAGGTATGATGGGCATGATGAACCCCTACATGATGGGTATGGGAGGTTTAGGTATGATGGGAATGATGAACCCCTACATGATGGGTATGGGAGGTTTAGGTATGATGGGCGGTTACGGTATGATGGGCGGTCTTGGTATGATGGGTGGACTTGGTATGATGACCGGATACAAGAAATA